CAAAGTCTCAGCCAGGCAGAGAGAATCGTCCTAGAGTTAGAGGCTGACCTACAGGGTCCGAAAATATAACGAAGTGCAGGTGGATGAATACACAGGCAGCAGGATCAGGGACTCTGAGCTATTCAAAGCACATGCAGACAAGCAGCAGTAAGGAAAACCTCCCACCCGCAGAGACGCAAGCTGGAAGGAGCCACCGCTGAAGCGGAGGAGCACAGGGAAGCGGTTGTCAAGGATGCAAAGTGCAAACTCCCCGAGCTGGAGGTATCCCTGCAGGATTATAGCATGCGTTGTGTTGGAAGGGACCTCTAAAGGACATCTAGTCCAACCTCCCTGCAGTGAGCAGGGACTTCTTTAACCAGATCAGGTTGCTCAGAGCCTCATCAAGCCGATTTGAACCATCTGGCTTAACTGAGCTAGCTCAAAACCCTTCAGGTTTTTTGGGGTCCATTCGACATCATATTCCCTTTTTTCCCTCCCAACATATTCAATATTTCCCTGTTGCATTGCAGAACCTGCAGCTTTATCCACCATCCCTCACTCCTTTTGGGTTAGGCTCCCTACAAGCTTGGCCTCCTGCAAGCCCTGTCCTGCAATTTCTGGCCAAAAGCTCTGTACGATTGCTTCATCAAAAGCAGAAAGCGTTTTCGAGGTTGACAACGTTTAGAGAACAGAGGGAGCCGGAACATCAAAAAACACAACTACAGTCTGGAGCAACGCAGTCCGATGCATGAGGACCGAGGGCAACCACAAGAGAAAACCAAGAAGATTGAGATCACAAGAGCTCCTCATGCCCCGTTCCCTTGAGGATGAGCCCTGGAGCTGAAGCGTTCAAGAGCTCCCAGACCCCTCCAAAGCTGGTAATTTTGGCTGCCCGCTGTAACCAGCCACTGAACAGGGAAAGGGAAGACAAGAAATGCAGTAAACAAAACCATTGACTTGAAACTTCCACCCTGCCCCTACGAAACACGCTGCCCTCCCACATGGCGACGCACGCACCAACGTGATCCCTGTTCTTCCAGGGACTTGGATGCACACGTGTGGGGACAATCGAGCCGGGAAGAGTCCCAGCCCAGATGCCGCAATGAGGGCACCTGCCCAACGTAGGAGGCGAAGGGCCACACCTGGCCCTGCCCCAAACCAGGGGGGAGCCCAGCCTTGAAGCTGAGGGATGAGGAGACACCAGTTTTCCAAGGATTTGGCCAATTAGAGTGTCTGTGAAAGCTACCGTGTTCCAAACATCGGTTTCAATTTCAACTCATCAGCAATTCCACTCAAATAAATTACCACGTTGGGAAAACACGTCTATCAGCAACCTGCAGAAGAATCACCTTGAGAAATGGATTTGGCCCCAAAGAAGTTTCCTTGGCGTTAAAAGACGTTGGTTTTTTAATAGCCAGGACCAACAAAGCATGGTCACTTACCGCTAACCTGCCTGCAAGACTTCATTCATTAATTCTCAGTAAATTCACATTTATTACTGATAGGTTTTATTAAATAGGAGGTTGAGTCACATTCTCCTTCAAAGCTCTTACATGCAAGCTGAGGTACCAGCAAAATGCAAAGATCTTCTTTGACAGAAAAGCATTTTACAGTTCCAAAGTCGCGGTTCCGCTTCACCCAACCTACAAAAAGGGGAACGTGCAATTTTCACCTGAAAACAAGTCACCAGCACAACCCCTCTAATTTTCGTTGCTATTACAAAAAAAACCCTGAAGTGACGCCTCTGACTTTACAACATTCTCCAAATCTTTATGGGACAAAGATGCTGCCGCCTTCTCTGTCACTACGCACAATATATGCTAAGCTGCTCACATTCTTTGCATCACAAACATTTTGTGGAAGTTTCGTTCAGCCTCGCCCCGTTTTTTGCACGAATAAAAGGAAGAAGGTGCACCGCTGAGGTCAGAGGCAACTGCACCCTGGAACCCGCTCCCTGCACGTCGCCTGCGCCAATCTCCCACCAGCAACCATGCCCTGCTGTTCCTACGGCATCAGCTCCGGCCACGCCATCAGGAGTTTTGGCTCTTCTCCTGTAGCTCTTCCCAGGAGTCGATGTCCTTTCAGCACAGCCTCATGTCACTGGCGTGGTGGCATGCGCTGCCATGGTTTGGGTCATTTCAGCAGCAGAAGCCTTGATGGTATGGCACGTTTCAGGCCCCCGACAGCTGTTGGGAGACCTCCTCGGGGACGTGGACCTGGCTTTGGTGCAGGTGGCACGGGGTTCGGCTACAAGGGCACTGGCTTTGGCTACAGGGCTGGTGGAGTCTCCAGGCCACGCACCATCACAACAGTCACCATCAACAAGCAACTGCTACAACCGCTCAGGCTGGAACTCGACCTCAGCGCGCACACGGTGAAATACCAAGAGAAGGAGCAGATCAAGACCCTCAACAACAAATTTGCTTCTTTCATTGACAAGGTGAGCTGAGAGCCCCTCCCCAGCTCCAGTTTGCAGGCACTGGAGGCCAAGGGAGGGGTCTAGCATGGAAAACGCACGGAATCGTTGCAAGACAACTTGTTTTAGGCATTGAGGGCAACTTGCACAAGGGTGCCAGTTGAGGACCAAGGTGTTTAGGAGCCACTGGGGAACCTTCAGTGTACAGGCACTATTGTTCTGATCTCTAGGCAGGGAGGGAACAAGCTGAAATCATTTTCATCAGCCTTCCAGTTCTCTTCCATTCCTCTCCACACAACCCCAATTTATTGCAAAATCTCTCCTCTCTAGAGGTCCTGAGGGTTTTTTCTGTGCATTTGCATGTGATGGCCCGGAACAAAAGCAAGCTGGATTAGGAAACACCGAGTTCACACGTACCAAGAGCATGAATAGATTTCACCACTGCTGCACAGACACTGCCTCTCGCGAGCTCTTCATCCTCACCTCATTCCCTATTTTGCTTTCTGGGATTCAGGTCCAACAGCTGGAACAGCAGAACAAGGTGCTGGAGACCAAGTGGAGTTTTCTGCAGGGTCAAAACCACTGCAAGAACATCGTCACGCCCAAGTTAGAGGCTTGTGTTGGTAACTTGAAGAAGCAGCTGGAAGTGCTGGGGTGCAACAGAGCTCGGTTAGAAACGGACCTGAAAGCAGCACAGCAGGTTTTGGAAACCAACAAGAAAAAGTAAGTAAAAATGAGAAAAATGAGAGTGCAGAGCTCACAATGTTGTTTGAGATTCTTGAACGGGCAGAGACCGTGAACTTCTCATGGTCGTAAATGGTTCTTAGAGAACTAGTAGGTGGATGGAGAGATCAACCAAAATCTCAGCATACAAAACCAGGTTCCAATTTACAGAGAGATGGAAGAAACGGAGGATGCCTCTCTTCCGGGTTCTCTTTCTGTCCTTCCTAATTCAAGGAATTAACACGTAGAAATGTTCAGCAGCTATTTGCTGTTGCAGAGCCGAAATGAAAAGTCCTGCTGCAAGCCTGCGGAGATGCAGAAACCTGCCTGAAAACACATTCGCTTTCCCACGGGCTAGGGAACAAGACCAAAGCAGCCCAAGACAATGTTTGGGGGAGGGAAAAAAAAAAAAAATTTGGAATGTTACTTCTTGAAAGAGGGCCTGCGGAAAACCCAAACAAAGATGTAATTGCTCTGAACTCCAACAAAATCTCCTGTTTTCCCACACAGGTACGAGGACGAGCGGAGCCAGCGGGCGAGCGCCGAGAGCGAGTTTATGGCCCTGAAGAAGGTGAGCAAGGGGCTGTCTGAATTCTCCTCTCCAGGTTGAGGTCTTTGGGGTGCACGCGGTGATTTTTTTCCCCAAAGCGGCGCACAAAACAAGCCTGAGCAGGAGCTGGTGCTTGGGTTTGCTTGAACTCAAAATCGGCAGCAACTGCGTCATCGGGAGCTGGTACCAGCACCAAGAGTCCCTCAGCCCAAGGGCAGCCCCAAGTCCGTTCTCGCTAACAAACTTCCTTCTTCTTTCCCCCACGCGTCTCCAGGATGCAGGCTGTGTTTTCTTAAACAAAGCAGAGCTGGAAGCCAAGGTGGAAAACCTGCAAGAAGAGGCTGAATTCCTGAGAATGTTCTACAAAGAGGTACGAAGCTCCAGCCGTCGTTCACATTTCCCAGCTGGATTTTGAAGCTGCTTGGTCACCACAAAGGGGGACCATGTCACACGGTGCAGGTGACACACCAGCTCGGGGCTGAGCAGGACCAGCCTCTCTCCAACCAGCCCAACCCTATGTCATCCCCAGGAAATCCACCAGCTCCAGGCCCAGATCTCGGATACTTTGGTGGTCATGCAGATGGGCAAGAGCCAAGATCTCAACTTGGGTGGCATCACTGCCAACGTCAAAGCTCAGTACGAGGACGTCGCCCGCAGGAGTCAGGCAGAAGCGCAAGCCTGGTATAAAAGCAAGGTGAGAAAACCTGGCAGGGGCGTGGTTTGGCTGCACTTTCTCTCTTCAGAAGATCTTTAACACCAGCAAAACACTCCCGCTCTCCTGATTTGCTCCAGTTTAACTCGGAGCATGTGTCTTTTGAGATATGCAGTGACGTCTTTTGGGCTTTTTCAGTTGGAGGAGCTGCGAGTCACTGCAGTCAGAAATGCTGACAGCCTGCGAAGGACAAAAACCAAGATCTCTGAGCTGACACGGACAGCTCAGAGACTGAACAGAGAAGTCAGAAGCACTAAGGACCAGGTGAGCACAGCCAGCTCTGGTTATTTCAGCAGGGCAGAGAGCGAATTGCTCTTCCTCTGAGCTCCCACAACTAAATTAAATGGTGTTGTAGCACCTTGCAAAGGGTGCTGGTGAGCTGGGGCTCTGCTGCTCCATCTAGAGCTGCCCAGCTCCGGCAGGACCTGAAGGGAGATGTGCTTACAGCATCCCAAACCCTGCGAGCAACGCGAGGGAGCACCAAAACTGCACATCCAGCTCTCTCCAACCCCTGCCAGAGGGAGCCACGTGTCCATCTCGGTGCTGGGCGGAATGGGCAGGCAGATTTTAAACCATCTCTTGATAACACATTAGGTTTGAAGAGAACAAGAGACAGCAAAGCTGACCGTGTCTTGCTCCTTGTAGCGCTGCAAGCTGGAAGCCGCCGTGGCCGACGCTGAGCAGTGCGGGGAAACGACCGTGAAAGATGCAAAGAACAAACTCTCAGAGCTGAAGCAAGCCCTGCATCAGGCCAAGGCAGACCTGACCCAGCAGCTCCATGAGTACCAGGAGCTCCTGAACATCAAGCTGGCCCTGGACATCGAGATTGTCACCTATAGGAAGCTGCTGGAGGGTGAGGAGAGCAGGTGAGTGCCAGAGCCCAGCAGGGCTGCACAAGCTGCTTTAGATGCATGTGTTGGAAGGAAAAACAACTGGATAAAGCTACTTCAGAGCTGCTTTGCTGCTTCTTGTGTAAGAAATCGTGCAACCAGCAGGACCAGGGAGGGGATTGTCCCCCTGAGTGTTGTGTCCAGTTTTGGGCACCTCGATCCAAGAGATCTCGAGGGGCTGGAGCGAGTGCAGAGGGGGGCGACGGGGCTGGGGAAGGGCCTGGAGGATAAATCTGATGACGAGCGACTGCAGGAGCTGGGGCTGTTTGGTTTGAAGCAGAGGAGGCTGAGGGGAGACCTCCTCACTCTCTGCAACTGCCTGAAAGGACGTGGGGGAGAGGCTGGGGCTGCTCTCACAGGTGACAGAACAAGAGGGAACGGCTTCAAACGGCAACAGGACAGGGTCAGACTGGAAATTAGGAAAAATTTGTTCCCAGCAAGAGCCGTCAGCCCTTGGCCTGTCCAGGGAGCGTGTGCAGTGCCCATCCGTGGGGGTGTTTAAAGGTTGTTGAGATGTGGGGTTGGGGGAGATGGTTTGGGGGGAGCTTTGCAGAGTAGGGCTCGTGGCTGGACTCGATGACCCCAAGAGGCTTTTCCAACCTGAACAATTCGATGACAATCAACCACAGTCCTGATGCAGAGCAATGCTTTCCACCAGTCCTAACAGATCTCCGCCAGTGCAAACCCATCCCAAACAAAGAGTCCCACAGGTTCCAAACAGCCAGACCCAGAGACAGACAAGGCCACATTTGAGGCTATCAGGCTTTGGATCTGAAGACACAATGATAACGTGCAGCCTTTTCCCGTTCTCTGCAGGCTCTGTGCAGAAGGCTGCTTCCCCACCAACACCCCTAAGTTGGAGCGTTCACCTTCTACCAAACCCAGCCATCTTTCACCTTTTCTCCAGCGAATTCCCTAAGCTGAAACTCGGCTTTGCTCTGCTCTTTGCAGCCGCTTGCCACTCGCGGGGAGGTCTCACCTACAGCCCAGAGCTCGGCTTTGCAAGCGGCCACACATCAGCCAACAGAAACTCTGTTATGTGCAGATACCAAAGGCACAGAGGTCTTTTCTGTGCTCAAGAGCCTTGCTATTTCTGCCAGGGAACCCAAAAGCAAGGGCTAAAATCCCCCTCATCTCTCTCATGACGCAGTTAAAACAAGATGCCTTTGGTGTAGTTTCCCAGGCTTTCCACTCCTGCAAATTCAAGGATGAAAGTGAAGTGGGAGGGAGGGCACCTTCCACCCAGGAGCATTTTCATTAGAGCTTTGCCCAGCCCAGTTGTCTTAGCAGCCCCTACCCTGGATCAGCCTAATTTCGCCAGTCAGCCTTATAGATTACACGTACACCCCTGGTATAAGACCTCATTTAAAATTGCCTGACTTGCCGTTTCCCGACACGTTGCATCCCTTTCATTGCTTATTTGCCCCAAAGGGCAGATTTCAAGGGTTGCTGCTCTGTGAAGGCTGTTTGCTTATGAACTTGCATCACTTGCTTCAAAACTGATCCTCTTTCTTTTTCTTCCAGGTTTTTAATGGTCTGGCTCACCCACTGGTGAGGGTCTGAGGGCCAGAGTCCACTGCCAGGTACGGAAAGGGCTGATCCAAATAAGTGCCTGGCCCTAAGACACAAAGCTCTTGTGATCTTATTCAAGGGATTCAAACCTCACCTTAAACACACAGGACCAGCACCAACTGCCTTTCCAGTCACGCAGTATCTAGACCCTGAACTGCTAGTTTAACCCTGTTTGAAGTAAAAGAGGACACAGCTTTATTTCTAACAACTATGTGTTCTGCCCGCGGCTTTTCTCCTAGTTTTAGTTTTGCATCTCCAATAAATCGACATAGAAACTGAGTTACCTTCATTCGACACCTTCATTTGGGGAAAGGAGGGTCAACTCTTGTCGCTGCTCCGCGATCTCAAATGCCAAAGCTTGCGAGGGTCTAAGCCAGGCGTGGATCAAGCCCTCCACCCGCCCAGACCTTTTTCTAACCCAGCCACTACACCTCAGCCGTCCCCCATAACCCCCATCACGTCTCTTCCCTAAGCCCATCAGCAGATGGGCCAGCTCTCCCCAGAGCACTGCTGAGGAAGAGGAGGCACAGCTTTCTTCTTCCTCACACCTGCAGCCAAGGAGCAGGACCCCCTCCACCCGGAGCCGGGTGTTTGCCAGGCAGCCAGCTGGGCACGGAGGTGATTCCCAGGTTAGATGTCTTCATTAGGAGAGGGTGGAGCCCCAGATGACTTCTCCCCCAGGAAAAACAAACAAACAAAACCACTTAGAGGGCACTGACTAAGCAGAGATGCTCTAGCAATTTGCATAAAACTAACTGAAACTTTTTATTCCTATCATGGATTGCTAAATCCCCTTAAAACTATCAGTGCTTGTCTCGGGTCGAGGAGGAAACTCCTCAAAGCCAGACACCAAGAGCTGCTGGATGGTTTTACAGCCCTTGTCCTTCCCTTCATCCCAGGACCAGACCAGGTCCCGCTCAGCTCGTCACAGCAATCCTCCCCACCTCAAGAAACTCAACTCCCAGCCCGCGATACGTACCCCTGCCAGGGCTGCTGCTCCCACGCACAAGCACCACATCCCACCATCCCCAGCAAGAAGCTGGAGAACCTCACTTCAGCTCCACATGTGGGGTGTTGCCCTTTATAACCTCATCAAGCCAATTAGGGCTTCCCATCAAGCTAATGAGGCATCCCAGGGGGAAACCTTCCGGGGGGTAGGAGTTGTCTTCCGTCCACTTTACCCCTCCCTGCCCAGTGGAGCTGGGGACTCAGCCCAGCCCACGCCGTTTAATTCCTTTCCAGCATAAGACAAAAATCTCAATCAACTTCAGAGCAGGGTCTTGGCAGTTACCAGAAAACTGATGGAACCTGAAAAGCACTGAAAGCAGCTCACAGGCGGCTCAGCCTGGTTTCCCCAGGTCACGTCTGTCTCCTTTCTCTGGAAATACCAAAATCTCTTCTATTGCAAAGGCGCTTCTGAAGCTGAGTTATTTCTCCTGAATCCAGCCTGCAGAAATCGCTCTCAGCAATCGGAGACTTCCAATATATCTGCTTTTACACCTTCTCGCCCCACGCTGCCCCAAAAGGAGCAGGAATAAGTTGTCCTCGTGCGGCGAGACCCAGAGACACCTCTCTGAGCTTTAAGCATCTGCAAGAGAGGCTGCTCGTCTTGGCTCAGCGGAGGAAGATGGTGCTCAGGGAGGGATCGGTCTCAGCCTCAGTCCTGATCAGGGGCTGGGCTGAAGCCCGAACAATCCCACTGCCCAAACGGGTAAAATTCGCACAGGAATGAAGGACTGCACAGGCAGCAAAGCCTCAGTCCTGCCGGTGACGCCAGCGGGGCAGCGCTCCAGGGGACACAGCTTGGAGCAGGCTCTGGAAACAGCAGGAAGGTTGGATGAGGTTGGGGGTTGAGCTGCTGAGCACCCAGGGCAGCCCACACGAGGAACTCAGGTGGGGCCGAAGAAGCATGCAACACACAGAAACTTTATTAACGGCCTCACGACGAGGGCCCGCACCACAAAGGCATAAAACTGTCAACCAGAGACACACTGCTAGGACACGGCTGAGCATGCAATACAACGATTTTGTGCAGTTTCTCCGAGTTATTTAACAATTCTTCTTACTGCAGTAATGACCTAACTATTTTCCCTGGCACGTTTCCATTGAAGATGCATTTTGGCAGGAGCAAGTAGTTACTGTAATGAGGCATCAACCAAACAGGCTTTTTCCCTGGCTGTGGTAAAGAGACCAGATATGCTTTGAAACACAGAGACACCCGAGGATGGGGAATGCTATCTCCCATTTTAGTGTGCTACGTATAAATTTAAGCAACTTCACACCACGGAAGCTTTGGGCTTCTTTTCAGGAGAGGGAACGGGTGGGGGAGCTTGTTGACGAGTTACTTCATTATAAAGAACCTGAATGTAAATCTGTCTGCATTGCCTTTGGTAAGAAACCGACTTTATTCAGAGGAGAATCGTTGAATTCCATTTCCAAAGAAAACAATAAGGAGAAACCCAAACCAGTTTCACCATTTTCTTCTTGATAGACTTCAAGAAAACAAACTCGGGCTGGACTCTTAACAAGGGTTGGCATTTTCTGAGGAGCCTAAGGGAATAAAGTTTTCCAAATCACGTTAAGGAGGAGATGATCTTCTGGTCTCTTTTGCAAAACCACAGCAGAAACGCAGGAATAGCTTGCCACTCAAATGGTTGCTTTACCCTTCGAAGGGTGAAATCCAGCCCTGAGCAGGGGGCACCAAGCACACGAGTAACAAAAGGGTGATCCCACCTGCTTCACGGGATAAATTTCACCCGACAGGCTTGGACCTGCTCGGTGGAACGGTTCCCACTGAGTTCAACAGGGCAGGATCAAGCCTGAGGCGTCACGTGGCAGGGTCAGGTACTCTGGTATGTCTTACACCAAATTCATTCATCACTGCAGAGATTTTGCAGCCAATTCATCCTATAAAAGGCAACGAGACGTTTCTTTCTACAGTTTCCCTCCTCCCACGGTAACGGGTACCGCTGGAATCTCCGTTCCTGTCGTTACTTCCTGAGGCTTCTCCTGCTGGACGAGGTGGTGGTGATGGTGTAGGACTTGGAGCTGCCCCCCGAGGAGAAGCCGAGCCCCCCGCTGCCCATGCCCGCTCCCAGGCTAAGGCCTCCTCCGGCTCCTCCTCCCAAAAATCCACTGGAACTGGCGTAGCCACCTCCACCGCTGGAGCTGACCACGGCTG